TCGGGCTGCCTGGTGGGGCAGGGGCTTCCTGCAGGTTCTCTGCAGCCTGGAGTCCTTCCTCCTTGTCCTGCCAGGCCCTGCTTCTCCCTGGAACTCTGCTTCCTGCACCCCGCAGGGCCAGACTGTCTCTCTTGCCTCTTCCCTACCCATGGAGAGAATAGTATGACCCCTAAGTTCTTGTACAGACTGTGGGCACCCCCACTATCAGCTCCTGTGCTTTCTGATCAAAAAGGACATGCTCCAGGGTTAAGCAAATGAGTAGGGATTTTTGTGGGGAGGGGAAGTGGGGAGTTGGAATGCAGTGTTGAATTTAAGAGCTTAAAGCTAGCTTAAATCCTGCTTCAGGTGCAAGCGCTTTCATTGCATTAGGCTCTCAAGATCCCTCCATATGGTTGTGAAGGCGCTTTGGAAATGCTGATGCTTTTGGCTGCTCAGTAGGAAGTAGGTACTCACGTACACCTCTGTGGAAGCTACAGATTCAGTTCTGTGAAACAGAGCTGTCAGTGTCTTCATCTAGGTGTTTGACTGAACTCATGTAAGGATTTGGGGTTTTCAGAATTTGACATGCACTGTATAATCATAACTCCCACCAGTGCATTTCCTCTGCTACTGCTATTGACTGTGTGAACAGAGCCCTATACCCATAAGGAGCCCATTGAATCAAAGAAGCTTCCAGGAGGCTGCAGGAATCTGCCAGGACAGAACCAGTTACAGGACTGGGTCCTTAGATGCCATGGAAATGGGTGATGGGATCGGATTTAAGATAAGGTGGCACTCCTTTTTTGCTGGTAAAACTGACTAAACGCACATACACATATTGTCTCTCAACCTCTGTGCTTGAATCCAGAATAACTGAAATAAGATATTTTTCTTGTGTGCATACAGTGCTCTTCAGCTATTTAAGAAATGACTTTTCACAGGAATAATCAATCTCTTCTCTGCTTCAATCGTTGTAAACTCTAAAATCTAATATTTATAATTACTTCCAATTATCTCTTATCATAGGTCATCCTAACCCTGAAAGGCTATTGATGTCACTGTCCTTGTTTGCTGCTTGTTAGGCAAACGATACCCTGAAAAGTCTATTGAGCTAAATTAATTGCGGCATCTGTGATCGACCTGTTTGGTTCATGCCATTGATTTACCCTTAATGCTGATTGACTTATGGTATTTGCAAGAAGAGTTGATAGGTAAACCATTTTCTGGTGCAAGGAAATGACAAAAGAAATTGCCCACCAAAATCTTTTCCTTCACAAAGGCAGTTTTATTGATATGGATAAGTAGATTTGTCACAATGAATAAGACACCATGGTAATTTTAATCTGGAAAAGCACATTTTGTAACAGACAGAACTAACTGTTGAGAATTGCAGGCAGTTTTTCATTTCTTTCTCCAAGGAGAAGCATTCTGTGCAGAGAAGGACCATTTCCCGATGCACTTCTTTTACACTTTATGCATTTTAGCATATTGAAGGAGCAAGGCACCTGTATCCTAAAAGTCGTTTCATCAAGTTTTCTAGTGCAAATGAGAATACTCTCCGAGATCTCATAAAGCCAGTTACAGACAAGTAATAATGGTTTGAGGACTGATAAAGGTTTTCTCCTGTGTGGGAAATTTGCTGGAGGTCTCAGCCCAACCCCAAGGGGATCTAGATTGCAATTGGTTGGTTACATTATTGTTGGTAATCCCAGAAAACCCCCCAAAATTGAAGGTTAAGGAGGTTGAACTATTCTCTTGTCTAAGTAGAGCAGTGGTTCCCAAACTGTGGGTCATGACTAAATGGGGTTGCAGCAATCAGCAGATGCAGTCACAGGGGTTGTGGGCTGTGGGTTGGGAGTGAGGGGTCACGTTGAGGAAATTAGGCTATAATGGGGTCACGCTGAGGAACAATTTGGGAAGCACTGAAGTAGAGGCTTCACCATTTCAGGGCAAAAATATATTCTTAAAACAGGAGCATTAAAACAGACCATTGAAGTGAGCTAAAATCTAGCTGTTAGCCAAGGTTTTAATATTCACCTGGACCT